CACACACACACACACACACACACACACACACACACACACACACACACGACATGATGTATGAGGTTCACCTTCATCAACAGGTGACACAGATTACAACACCTATAACGCTCAGGCTTTACCCACATCACGCGTTGAGTAGCGTGGAAACGCCAAACGGCCAAGTATGTACACGAGCACATCCCTGTTCAGCTCCAAACACACGGGAGCATCTTCTACAATAGCTGCGTGTTATAAAGTCACAGAGACGTCACGCGGTGTCGTACAAACACACAGCAGGTCGGTACTATGACTGATGATTATGTATGTGCGTGCGCACGCGCACGCACACGCACACACAGAGTATGAGTCAGCACAATGCCTCTCAGAGATGCTGCGCGTTGTGCACTTGTTAAGAGTGTGTGTGTGGAAATGACTCAGTCGAGTGTTACCAGACCGGGGACACGTTACAGCGTGGAAACACTGGACATCACACAGTAATCTGCCATTTGCAGAGCAGAGCCCACACTTCATGAAGACCTGAGCACAACCAGTATTTGTCAACTACGTACACTGTGCCATCTGGACAACCAGAACCGTATTACCATTATATTTACTAACTAATTCAATAACGTATTTTGGAGCATGACACCATCACAACAAGCTGGTTGACTCCGGACGGTCCAGTTCCAGTGTTGATGGCGATTGTTCATCGGTGCTTACCGAGGACAATCCTGCAGAGATCCTGCAAGCGTATCGGCAAGTGACAATAGGACAAGCATCTCTACATAGACATAAATAAAGAAAGAAAGAATTGGTAAATATTCATATTCTTCTTTCAAAAAATGCTGCAAAGATGTACCGTCGCATTAGCATCAAAGTCAGGGGTCTGACATCTTGATCGAGACTGAACATTGTATTTATTTTGCCGTCTTCCAGTTTCTCAAAAACACTCCCCACCTGTAGCGGTTCATTAACCCTTCACCATCAAATCACACCATCTGTGGTCGTTCGGTTAAGACTGGTAATGGGAAACTATTTTGATAGTCAATGAAGGGTCATTTCTAACCAAAGATGTCACGCATTCTTGGTTCTAGCTTTCCAAATGTGAAGATTAGCTTCTTGTCTTGGTCACACGTGTACGTACACATACATACATACATACATACACATACACACACACACACACAGTTGTGTGAAAAAGTGTTTGCCCCCTTCCTGATTTCTTATTTTTTTGCATGTTTGTCACACTTAAATGTTTCAGATCAAACAAATTTAAATATGAGACAGAGATAACACAAGTAAACACAAAATGCAGTTTTTAAATGAAGGTATTTATTATTAAGGGGGAAAAAAAAATCCAAACCTACATGGCCCTGTGTGAAAAAGTGATTGCCCCCTAAACCTAATAATTGGTTGGGCCACCCTTAGCAGCAACAACTGCAATCAAGCATTTACGATAACTGGCAATGAGTCTTTTACAGCGCTGTAGAGGAATTTTGGCCCACTCATCTTTGCAGAATTGTTGTAATTCAGCCACATTGGAGGGTTTTCGAGCATTAACCGCCTTTTCAAGGTCATGCCACAGCATCTCAATCAGATTCAGGTCGGGACTTTGATTAGGCCACTCCAAAGTCTTCATTTTGTTTTTCTTAAGCCATTCAGAGGTGGACTTGCTGGTGTGTTTTGGATCATTGTCCTGCTGCAGAACCCAAGCGCGCTTCAGCTTGAGGTCACGAACAGATGGCCGGACATTCTCCTTCAGGATTTTTTGGTAGACAGCAGAATTCATGGTTCCATTTACCACAGCAAGTCTTCCAGGTCCTGAAGCAGCAAAACAGCCCCAGACCATCACACTACCACCACCATATTTTACTGTTGGTATGATGTTCCTTTTCTGAAATGCCGTGCTACTTTTACGCCAGATGTAATGGGACATACACCTTCCAAAAAGTTCAACTTTTGTCTCGTCAGTCCACAGAGTATTTTCCCAAAAGTCTTGGGGATCATCAAGATGTTTTCTGGCAAAACTGAGACGAGCCTTTATGTTCTTTTTGCTCAGCAGTGGTTTTCGTCTTGGAACTCTGCCATGCAGGCCATTTTTGCCCAGTCTCTTTCTTATGGTGGAGTCATGAACACTGACCTTAATTGAGGCAAGTGAGGCCTGCAGTTCTTTGGATGTTGTTCTGGGGTCTTTTGTGACCTCTTGGATGAGTCGTCGCTGCGCTCTTGGGGTAATTTTGGTCGGCCGGCCACTCCTGGGAAGGTTCACCACTGTTCCATGTTTTCGCCATTTGTGGATAATGGCTCTCACTGTGGTTCGCTGGAGTCCCAAAGCTTTAGAAATGGCTTTGTAACCTTTTCCAGACTGATAGATCTCAATTACTTTGTTTCTCATTTGTTCCTGAATTTCTTTGGATCGCAGCATGATGTCTAGCTTTTGAGGATCTTTTGGTCTACCTCACTTTGTCAGGCAGGTCCTATTTAAGTGATTTCTTGATTGAGAACAGGTGTGGCAGTAATC